GGAGTCGGCAGTTCTTCTGTGGAGGGAGGAAGGAACCATGCCTCGTTTGTGTAGACTGATTGGAAAAACCGTGAAAAATACGCAGCTTTATCCCTACTATCAGCAATGTCATCGCCATCAGGAGTCTTTATCAAAGGGATTTATGCCTGTTCCTTGTAGTTCGTCGGAGGTAGCTGTAGAGTAATTTTGGGTTCTGCGTTGCTTTTGTAGCAAGTTCTTCTCGAATTCCCGCCGCATCTGCATTATCAGCTTCCTCAGTTTGTTCCTCTGTGTCTTATAGGTGTTGAAGCATTCAGCTTGTCTAGTTACGCAGTATTTTCTCCACAACTTGTACTTCCTGTTGATTTCTTTCTTGAGGTTGCTATTGAGGCACCCAGGGCTTTTATTCAGTCTTACACTAGTCAGTGGGCAGTGGTTGTTGATGAGCTGCAGACGGACATTCTTGAACAGCTCCCAGTCATCGTTGGCACCTCCCGTAAACAATGAGCCCCAGTCAAAACCGGATAAGTCTGCCCTCATCTGATTGAAGTCGCCCCGCCAAACATTACGCCTTTTGTGGTCTGGAGTATGTGAAATGGTGAATAACGAATAATCCCACATAAGCACTACGTGGTCACTTCGGCCAAGGGGCGGCATGGAGGCGATCTCGTCTATGCTGTCTGGTGTTTTCGTAAAGACCAGATCAAGGCAGTTTGCCCTTTGTCCTTCACGTGTTCTCGTTGGGAACATTACATGTTGTGTGAGGCACGCATTTAATGTTTTGCTCAACAGGCGGTAATCGAATGCCGATTGTGAACCTGACGCTTGGAGGGTATTCCAGTTTGTTCCTGGTGCGTTGAAGTCGCCCATGATCATGATGTTAGGTTGACTGGAAAATTTCTCCAACTGCTCCAAGAGTTGAGTGTCCGTGATTCGGTCTGTCCTAGGTGGTCGGTAGACAGTGAGGACATCGAGACACGGGGAACCGGTAGCCTTGATGGTCAACCAGATAGCTGCCTTACTGCACGCAAACTTGGTGGTGTTATCCGACACTTTCAGACCGACATTCACATACACAACGATACCACCCCCCTGACGATGTTCCCTGTCCCTCCGACAAATTTGGTATCCAGGCAAGGCTACTTCGTTATCGCTAATATTCCCGGACAGCCAGGTCTCAGTTACTGCTAAAACATCTGGAGACAGCTCAACAAGGCAAAGTTTTAGTTCGTCTAGTTTCGATATGAGGCTTTGGGCATTCGTGTACAAGCACCTCAGTTTAGCATCAGCCGAATTTCCCGTTGCATTTGTTAATTCTGTCAGCATTACTCCGTTATCGCGGACGTCGTGTTCTCTAGGCTCTTCCGTTACCTGATTGGTTCCATTTACAAGCCTTGTTTCAGTCAGACCACTGGACGCTACGGGCTCACTTGTGTTGGCGCCTTGATCAGGTGGTTCAACGAAGGTGTCTGTTTTAGCTGAGTAGCTGTCGTCGTTCGTAGTATTACAGGCTGGTTCCACTGAAACGGCATATATTTCCGAACTACCTTCCCCTTGAAGATAGCCAGATTGTGTTCGCCATCCTTCAGTCTTGATTTTAACTCCAAGACAAGTTCCCGGCGTTTCAACCGTTCCGCTGGTGACTAGTCCGGTTGAAAAAAAACCTGCTTGTGTGTGTTTCTGAGATCGGTTTATTTAGAGAGGATAAACTTGATCTGCTCTTTGTTCTCCAGCATAATTTTGAGAGGGCGAGGTGGTTGTGCTACTGTCCTGTCTTCACTCCTTTTTCCTATTCGGAATGCTTTCAGAACCTTTATTTCCATGTCTGCCGGCAATAAATGATTTAGCAAACCATGAATAGAAGCAAGGTCCTCTGAGACACGGTCTGCAGGTCTGACTGCATTCGATTCTGACAACCCCTGAATAACCAGACACTGCTGGCGAGCATGGTCCTCCTTACCCTGTCTTTCCGGTGAATTCGCTGCATGTGGGCGAGGACGATTTACGGAGTCATCGCTTGGACGCACACTTTTATTGTCTACCGACTGTCCCGAGCAACCCATCAGGGCTGGCTGTGACTTCAGAATCCTGTCATGGCGTTTCCCTCTCCCCTCTACCCACTGGTTTATGTCTTCGCATTCAGGAAACCCACAATCGCTTGTCCAATGCAAGATGTAATTTCCGTAGGGGAAGATCATGTGTAACGAACTTGCAATATACAATGCAAAGTTGGACAAGAGCACTGGACGCAAAATACCGTGAATGTGGCCTATATTGATTCCCGGAAGGCGTTCGACAATGTTTCGCATCAGCGTCCATTGCACAAGTTAAAATTAATGGGCATCGGACGCAAACTTCTCAAATGGATCGAGAATTTCCTCGTCGGCCGCTCCCAAATTGTCTGCGTATGACAACAGCAATCAAGGCGCACATTCATAGAGAGTGGAGTCCCACAAGGTCCGTGCTCGGACCAAACATCTTTCTCTTGTTCATCAATGATTGCGTAGATGGCTTGGATGGTGACAGTGCCATGCTTGAGAATGACATAAAAACCTGAAAAGTCATCCAGAATGTTGCTGATGAGACCAACTTCCAAGAAAATCTTTGTCGATTGGACGAGTGGTCCCGCAGATGGCTCTTGTTCTTCAATTTGAACACATGTATCATACTGCGCCTCGGAAATCAGACCCCTAACACGCGACAATTCCATCTGAAGGGAATGCAATTTCGCGAAGCAGAAACGTAGAAAGATCTCGGAGTGTGGGCTGCTGACAGCCTAAAGCCTTCTACACAATGTTGTAAGGCGGCCAAGGCCGCAACTTCAATGCTATATGCCATCAAGCAAGCATTTGCAGTTTTCGATGAAGACTGCTTCTTTAAAGTCTTCGACACGTTTGTAAGGCCGCATCTCAAATATGCAATTCAGGCCTGGAGTCCGTGGACGCATCAGGATTACAATCTACTCGAAAGGGTGCAGAGGCGAGCAACCTGCCATACGAGATCCGCTTAACTTAACTCAATCTTATCCTCTGAGTTAAAGGCATTTGCGCGGACACTTGATACAAACTTTCCGTATCGTGCGTGGCTTGGACTGCGCCCTTCTGTGCGATGATGTTTTCCAACTCGCCACGACAACTAACCTCCAGGGACATCCCTTCAAGCTACATGTGCCCAAGGGCAGATTGAACTTGAGAAAATATTTCTTCTCCAACCGTGTTGTGGAACCATGGAATAACCTGCCCGAGACGATTGTCATATCTCAATCTGTGGAGACATTTAAATGTCGACTTGACAGATATATCCTGCAGCAACAAGCGGACAATGTGACTTTTTTAGCCATGAGACCAGTGACATATGTGAATCAATGTCTGCATTCACTTAAGGCTGTAATTTCTTCACGTTTTTCTGTGTTTATCGATCTTTTATGTAAAAATAGGGATTTCAAAGACGTAAGCCTATTACCCTCAGATACACTGACTGACTGACTGACCTGACATTTGTACGCGCATCTGGTGTCCGGCCACATAGATACAGCTTTTGTGTACACACGCAATGTCTACGTACCATTTCGTTCATATAACACTTGAAACTCACTGAATCCATCGTAGTCATGATGCTGAGTGACAGTTCCTAAAATCTCTGCATTATATACAGATGGGGGCACATGATTCACAGCTTCGGTGAGGTTCCCTTAGACTCCTAGCGAGTTGACGATTACGCACCGGGAAAATGCACGAATTAACCGCTTGGTACCGTTGGTCTTATTGGTTTTTAACAATGACCATATATGACCATATCGACGTCGACGACATTATTAGTTCGTTTTCTACTTTAGTGTATCTTTCATTCGCACACTTCGTCATGCTTATTGGTAGATTCAGTTAAATTTTTCTGAAACGCCCTGAGACCCCATAAATACAGATAAGAATTAACGTTAAGGAACATAGACCAAAGGACGCCTCTCGGACGCTATCGCCGCTCTCAAGGAATCGTCTCATCTCCACTTTCGGGGACGAACGAAGTTCATCCACAGGCTAATCTGTACCCTCCGAAGGACATTCCAGTGTTACCTCTCGACCGAATTTCTGGAGTCTATAACTATTCCTCTCTCTCCTCTCTCTCTCTCTCTGTTGGACACCGTCTCCTGTGTTTACTGATGGCTATTCGATAAAATTAAGCAAATGCTCGACGCATTGTAGCGGCCGAGCGAAGGGCGACGTCGGATCACGTATGATGTTGGAAGGAGTAGACGGCAGCATAAATTCAGACAGGTCAGCTGTTTGGAAAAGCCTGGCCAGAAGTCCTTATATCGTAACGGGACGGGATCGGGTGATACAGGCATGCGGGACATCGTACAAAGCAGGGCAGTTGATAAAAAGATATAAATTTATTATAAACTATAAAAGTGGAAACCTACTACAAGGTGGGTTGTGGTAAATGAAAAGAATGGCAGAACGACTTGTCGAAGAGGAGTTGGGGTGACTCGTCCGCGCATGACCTTGGAGGTACAATCCTTGCAAGAAAAAGATGGAAGAATGCCATCTAAAGTGAGTGTCAATTAAAACAACCAATATCGGGACTCTGGTCAGATCTCCGCCTCTTACAGCATATATAACTTGGGCGTGTTAACGCTGCGTGAATATCTCACGCTATCATCGTATGAACATTTTCCGGACGTAAAAATGCCGAGCCCATGCTCCCCGTTGTTTTTCTGAGTTAGATTTCATACTTCTGTTTAATCTTCACACACTCTGACCTACACTCCGCCTCCAGGCCCCGGGTTGAATTTGTGTGTCACTCAATCATGTGCGCCTAATTCAGTGCCCTTGTTGCCCTAGCGACGAATGTATAGACCCACGCGGCGCTGGTCCTCCCTCTTGGTTTCTGCTGCCTGCCTTGCTATTGTGAGTATTTCCTGGGGATTCGTTTACCTTGCATCAGTTCCTCTTCTGAGGCAGCGTATTCAGTCACTGATTCACAACTAGTCAATACGGCACAGAACACTGTTCGCCATATCTTAAATGGAATCGACTTTTCCCCGTGTGGACACACAAAGCACTCGATCCCTTACCAACTTCGAAGTTTTCCAGTTCATGAAAGGTCGTTTAGAATCGAAGAACAAAGTTCGTGCTCAACAAACCCTCCTTTATACCGGCATGAAATTCTTCCAAGAGAAATCGCCATGCACAACCCAGTCTTCTCAGGAGATAGCCGACTTTCTTGGAAAGATAAAATCGTGCAAATTAAGGAAAGAAGAGGTTCTGGCATTGATTAACAATTGTCCTGCGACTCAAGTCGAACTATCTGTTGTACGTTCTCCACCATTTCCTTGGCTTCTAGCTTTCGTATTTTATGCCTTTGGTCCATCCTTTAATGGTAGTCTATTTGCCGCCAACGAAGCCTTTTGTGCTGCCGAATAGTGATAGCTCCGTTCTGACGGACAAGTGAGGATAGTTGCACATTGCAGTCTCTTGCGCGTACCAAAGCCTCACAAGTGATGCGTTTTTCTGAAGTCCGCATAAAAACCAGATTTCGCTGTTGAAATCGGGTTGAATCTACTAGTGTGGCTATAGTTTGGGAGCGAGTCAGCATTTTGGTCACACTTTTCATTTTGAATGCATTTCCCCCATCACAGATCCGAGCTTCAAATCCCCTCTTGTCGCACGCACGGATCAAAGCAAGATTTCTTGAAATAAAGGCTTCGACGGTAATCCATTTGGTCCCAGGGCTTACAGACCTACCTGTCCTTAATTAAATATCTTTACAAGAGTGACAAACAATTCAGTCAACTGTCTCCACATTTAACTGCAACCACGTTGTTTCTACCTATTATATTCGTTCTGTGTCGATAGCCTTCTGGAAAACACGTTTTGACTCTCTCGGGGCGTTGGTGCAGAAGCACTTGGTCACCAGCCTGACAGATACTGCTTGCTGTGGGGGTTGGTTTAGAGAGCAGTCCTAAGGGTTTTTACTATTCTTTAGTTATCCGTACACACATTTGGTCTAAATCCTGGTGTGATAACACTGTGGAGAAAACTCGTAGCATCAATGTCCTTGGTAACAACAATACCTTCCAATGCAGCAGAGTTGCGGGGCTGCAGTAAAGGATGGCCGATCCTATCTCCCGACACCTTGCCGGTAACACCTACTTGGCAATGACGGGCAAGTTATGCAACGCTCGAGTCCGATTACTTCTACCGTACATCTTAGAGCTCTGTTATTTACTCAAAGGAGAAGCCAGCGGCTGCTAGAAGCTAACGGTCGAGGCGCATTGTGTATACTAACCAGCATGAACATATCGGTAATTATGTTTATAAATGCGTATTTTGTTAACAGCCGGACATACATCCGGTCGGTCTAATAGCTAGCGACTATACTTATCACAGCCGATTTATCTTTTGTTCGTACTCGAGAACCAGCTTCCACGTCTAGCCTATCCCCACTGACCATCATAGCCACCGACCTCATCCTTACGATCTCACCACCGATGGTTTATCCTAAATTTGTTTTCCTGTCCTATTTGCGGCCGTTATACCCACTCTCTTAACCTAATTATGAACACTAGGCACATAGGCAGCTCTAGGTATCGTTGCATGTGCTCTTCTGGCCAGCTTCAAGTGCTGCTGATAATGACCTTAGCCGGCGTGCCGTGCATTACATATGTGCGAGCATTTCAGTGTTTACTAGAACAGTTATGTGGAGTTCGTGGACAAGTAGTAGGCCCACCACCTGTCATCGTACTCAGAACCTAAGTATTCGCAGGTGTCCCACCCAGCTGCAACTTTATTATGACTAGACTGAAGTGAATGTCCGCCCCTCCGTGTCACACGAATGCTGTCTGTGATCTCATTTCGAAATAGACATAGTTCTTTGGTTATTGTTGTAACCGCCTCAATTTGCCTCGAGTCCGCTTTATATTTCCATAATCCACCATGATCCCAAAACTTTTGCACGAGATCTAAATTGTAGTGCACTAGGCAGTGCTCTTCATCACTTCCGCTTCTGATATTGTGATCTTCCATAACTTAGAAATGTAGCTTTGACTTAATTCCATTTGAACTATCAAATGTGTTTTCTTTAGATGATCCCAGACCTGGACAGTCAGTTCACACCTACACAAATAGAAGAGATGTTGGCGCTAGTGGCCGAATGTTTTCCGGAAGGCGTCAAGAAATCTATTACTATTAACTCATCTGGAGTTGCTGACGAATCCACTGATTAGCCTCGTGGACGCCCTTCGTTTGCATTTTTACACTGATTATATTCTCATACCTGCCCTCACCCCATCATGGATGAGAGTTAGCTTCTCGTCTCGGATCCAAATTAAAAGTTTTTTTTAATAATCTGGCGTTGGTGTAGGATTATACGGTCTTAGTGGTAGCCTGACAATTGCCGCACTTCTCACTCATAAATTTGAGGTGGCAAAAGAACCACCAATCTGCGCGTTGGTTCTATGCGAGTTTCCTTTTCGGAATCACATATTGCAGGTAGCATAGTGTACCGGTTGTTCAGCAAACTATCCCCGGGTGTGTGATCACGACCCTTATACGCCCGGCATCCGAGGACATTATGATCAGACTTCTGTGGACTTCGAGTTCTTCTGGTGTGGGAGTAAAATCCGACCATTAGTAATCAGGAGGCTATTCTCTGTGGCATGACAGAAAAGTCCCTTTGGCGCAACTAGCTCTGAGCAAGTGCAGCTCGTGTCGTCCAAAAACTTAATCGAACCCTTGCTAGTTAGAAAGCGACTGTGTGATGTGGCTTGGTTGGGCGACGGTATCCCGAGTTCGAAAGTGCACGCCTACACTTACTCCCCTGGCACACAAGCTTAAAGCTTCGGAGTTGTGATGGGTGACGACAATGGGGCCTCTTTGGGTGGCGTGTTGCACTTTTCGTGTAGTGGTTCGTCAGATGCTTGCAGAAAACTGGAAGCATAAGTCGCTGTCTGCGTGGTCGCCCCCAGAGGACCCAAAGGAGAACACTAAAGGACTTCCCAGGAGCGACGGAGCGCATTGCTACGGAACTAGTTGGAATGGCACACAGATCGAAAGCCACCATGCGCAGCAAGGCCATGAAAATTAAAGACGGCTTAGATTCAGTGGAGCAACCTGGGACGGTGTATCGCATCCCGTGCCAAAATTGTCCTTGTAACTACACAGGCAGGGCTGAACGCGTGCCCGGACCGCGCGCACACAAACATAAGGTGGCTGCGAGATGAAGCGACCAGTTATTATGGCTATCCTCGCCTGCGAAATGGATCATGAGTTTAACTTCGCAGCCAAGAAGATAATCGCACACGTCGGAAACAAAACAGGCCGAGAATAAATTGAAGCCTGGACCCCGAATGAGAACTCGCTCAATCGATCCGGCGCTGGCATAAAGAGGTCAGCGTGGTCATTACCACTATTGAGCCATCGGTCGATGATTGGCCAGCACGCCCTACAATTATCGCCCGTTACGTTGTTACTATCGCTGACGATGGGCTCCTGCACGAGTTCAGAACAATTAACATTTCCGATGCTCGACCAGCCTTCGCTTATACATGCACTAGGAACTCGAATTCTCACCGGATTTCCAGAAGGAGAAATGAAGAAAAGCGTCCACACGGACACAATAGCTACAATGCGGGTGACCTCCCTCATCGCTATCTTGCAGGTGATGGTATGCGCATTCGCTCATGTGCACGCTTCTGTAGAAGGGACTGAGACCCGACAACTACACTGAGATACAGTACAATCACGAGAAAGCCCCGTTTGTGTGGTTGATTGTATTTATTCGGTTCAAGTCTTCTCAAAGTTGTGTACACAAAGGCTCGCGTATAAAAATAGTAAAAGGCTCGTACAAGGCACTAATTAGTCTCAAAAAGGCCGTCGTGCAGAACTCGCGGCGTCTCTAAGAGCAATGACGCCTTCTAAGGCTGCAGACATAAAAATGCGGGTCGTTAATGCAGACCACAAAGATGGCCGCCAATAGCGCCTTGCGGCAGAAGGAAAGGTCGGGATCATGGACATAGTGCACGCCGGGGTGACACTAAGTAGTGAAAAATGCGAACACGCAATAGCTGGCAGCGGTCATCTTAAAGGCCACTGAAGACCATAAAAGTAACGGCAAACGAGTGAATGACGTATAAATAGTAAACCGGTAAGATACGTAAGAGTAGGCTGACAAGCTTGCTTGAGGGAAGATGGCAGGAATCTACTTTTGGGGCAAAGACACAAATGAGTCTGGTTTACGGTCACCTTCTGCAGATATGGTAGCGGTCGACACCCTCCTCTCATTGTCAGTACTCACGTCACTTAAAGAAGACATTGAATTGATGCTGTCAATAAGGCCAGATGAGACCTCGTGTGGATTGTCACCGGCCTCGCGTCCATCACCTAGGGCTCGTCCTAGTGGTGACAGTTCGTCCCCAGGAGCGATATTTCTGAACCCATTGTCGTTACAGTTTTCTGACCTACTGCTGGCAATCCGTCCCAGATCATCATCCTCAGTGTCCTCTTCTGTATCCAATAGGTCGACACTGTCTGGAATGCTGCGTGGAACCTCGCGCCAGTGAGACCAACGGTTGTTTAAGGGAGCGTCCTCTGAGGAGTCCAGCTGGGGCGAAGAGCCGGAGGGCATACTCTTATGAAAGTTCTTCTTCTGTAACGATGACGGCTGGGTACTCACGGCGACCCGACCAGCGTTGGAGGCTACATGAGAGGCTCGCGGTTGAAGCGGGGTACTTGGACGCATCACCACGGCCACCTGAGCAGATTCGAGAGTCGATGACGGTTGTTGTCGCTGAGGCAATGACTCAAAACTGCGAGTTATCAGGGTATGCGTAGGGTCGACTGCTATTGTTCTTACTCTGTTTGACTGTTGGGGCAGAGGTCGGAGGCTGACACGTGCCTGTTTCGGGGGAGAGCAAAGTACACCACTTCCACTGGAGGACATTGCGGACGAGATCCCAGAGACCTCGAAACTGCTCTCAGTAGTCCTACTCGGAGATAACAAAACTTTTGGCCTTCTATTGTTTAGAGCAACGCGAGACTCCTGGTCGGCACTAACGACGCTCTCGACTGGAAGTGAGGCACTCGGCGAATGCTGGCTGGAGGGTGTGCCTGACAGACTATGGGAGTGCAGTTCCAGCAGGGCAGGGTGGGATGCCGTCAGGGACCCGGATGGCAATCCAGGGCGTTCGAAGTTAAATTTAGAGCCTGAAGTGGTAGTGCTGGGCGTTGGCCAAATAGTAGGGATGACAGCTGTGTTTGCTGCTCTCATTCTTGCCTTAAAATGTTCAAAGCAGGGGAAGGGTTCAACTGTAAAGTATGTTGCAGATGGGTGCGGAGGGAAGAGGACAGAGCCAAAACCCAAAGGCTTATGGGTCCTGCGTTTTGCAAGTTCTCTAACTGAAGTCAAGATGGAAGCCCTGACCATCGATCAGCACGAGACACGGAGACGAAATACGACCTACGTAACATCTCTGACTTGTTTGGTCAACACTGATTTCATAAAATAACTGTATTCGATGAAACGATGACATCCAAACGACGGTGAGCACGTCAACCCATTGCAACTCTATTCAGCTCACGCTGGTGCTGAACACTTGTCGCAATCATAAGCCAACGACCACATTTATGGACTCGAAATCGTAAACCACGGTGGGGATGTTTGGTTTAAAATAAATACAAAACGAACGAGAAACTTAGGTAGGTCATGAAAACAAGGGAATTTACAGTTTAGTCTACCATACCAAAAACCAATGTCCCAAGAACATTTGGTCAACTCTAAATAGGCTTAGCAATTTGGTGGGAAATGACAGCGAACGCACGATAAATAGATGGGAACTCAGTAAGGGTGGGATAATAATGGTAAAACAATAACCACGAAGTAGGCCAAAAGTACGACGGAAACTGAGGTAAAAGATGCCCCGGACTTAACCACTATTCTCTTCAGATAGTAATTTCCGCAGATATCTGTGACTGAACCCAAACTGATGTGCATAAATACGCCCGGTGAAAGCGGTCAACGAGCAAGGTAGCATGGAGGGGATGATCGAAGAAAATACGAGACCAAAACGGCGGCTATCTCAGTCTTCCCTGTAAATATCGGTATAACTAGTATAATTACGTTTAAATTCGTACTCTTAGTGAATACTGTAACCGCACTTGTCAGTGGAGCATCCAAACCCAGCAAACCAGACCTTTCTTCCATCTTCTACAGTCTACCAAGAAGTCGCGTTTACTAGCTAGGCACTCTTCCATAGGATTATCACATCTACGGCAAAGATAAACGATTTAATGGGTATTTTGGCAGACTCGAATTGTTTATTTTGACTCGAATGTGAAAACCTCAGCGAATTAAGTGGGATTCGGACCCATGAGAGCTAGAATACAGCCAACGCTCTAGCCACCTGAGTTGCTAAGCTCCACCGGGAGCCGTGAGTTCAATCGCACTTGGGTTGTTACGCACCCAGCTTATGGCAACGTACGGAATCCACCAGACGTGATACAGTAAACTGACTGCCCAAGCCAGATTTTCTAAGCAATCGATCTAGAATCCACCAGGTGACTACCAGGCTTACGCATAAAGTACGTTGACTAGTAATTATTTGCAATGATACAATATAAAGGAATTCCGGACTGCAGGAAATTGTTGGCGGTAGTACTTCAGATGTTATCTGTCATATGCTCACCAAAGCAGCAAGTGACATGACTGACAAAATGGCATGATCCTTAGGTGACAGTCAGTCAGACGGGAGGCCATGGACCGATGGTGGTTACTGCACCTTGCATGTACAAATTGGGTTTGCAGCAGCCACCCCAGTATGTTCTTTCCCCGCTCCTATTTGTCGCTCGACGGCCGCGACAACAGGGTTAATCTGCAGGCGTGCCGCTAACGCACGGTCACTCCCAGGCTTGATCTGAAGTGCCTCTTGTCAGGCTATGATGAATCAAAACTGCACCCACGAGTTGACGCAATCTCACAGGCGTTGGCCGGCGACGCTTATCACCCATGGGCCCTCGTGATTATGCGCGCCCTATTCAGCCTATGGACTAGCCAATCACATGTTCAACACTCAGCTAGTCACTTGATCATGCTGTCACAGGCATATCCCAATAGCGCACACATACTTCGTTACTTACGCGCTCGCAAACGGACGTTTTGTTTCGACACGCAAACAAACAGCCAACTCACGGCATCCTGCCCTCCTTAATAAAGAAATCGGCTCTCAGAGTTCGTTAACACCTGACATTGGTCGGAACGAACTTAGTGTGTAGGTAACATCGATCTAATATACTTGAGCGTCAGAGGTTTGCCACATGCACTAGCAGATGTTTGGCAAAGAAAACCAAAGCGCTTAACCCACATAGTTAGAGTTATCTTAGCCCTCAAGCCTAATATTGGAGTTTGGGTAGACTACTGAACGCCAAGTGGTATACCGATGTAAGACGAAACGACGTAAGTTTCGTCAACTAGAGAAAAATTTTGACAGAAAGGAATACCAACGGCAAAGGGATGACCATTTATGGCTTTTTGGCCGCCAGACAAGTTTGCATGATCTGGGATTTGGACCAGGATCTTTTGGTTAGTGAGTTTACAAGTCCTACGCTCTACAACCGAGTCATGGTCCCTCAGTTCTGTCTGTTGTGGTCGGCAATAGTAACCACGGTTGGAGGGCGTCCACCGACCAGGCTGTGGGACATGCCCGTCCCGTCGCGCCTCGAGGTTTGACTTAGAGCCTTCGAAGGCAGTCACAAAGCGACGAGTAATGATACAGGAAGGAATGCCGAAAAAGACAAGAGAGACTGGAGTAGCAACTTTTGTTCATGCAAAAGCGGGGTTGGGTGTGGCCGGAAGACGACGGTTAATAAGCTAGAAATGGCCATTCCAGTTCCCATTGTCACTATCGGTATTCAATCCTGTATTATTATTCGATGCTACGCGACTGCCTGTGAGAACTATACGGAGTCTCAAGGCGCGGCAGAACAAGCATGTCCCTTAACCTGATCGGTTAACGCCCGCCAACCACAAAAACACAAACAGTTAATTTTGTAGACAATGTCACCTTCTTTTGTCGTTCGACCATCGCGAACGACAAGGTTCATAGTGGGCCCGGAGGGGTGCTTTGGTGGCTTTCGCGTTAATCCATTTATGGTAAAGCAGACCTTCGTAGCATCTACTATATTCACCACACACACACACCGTGTTCCAATGGCAACACAAAGTCCAGATGACCGGAGGTGGGCCAGGCGAAGTGGCAGCCCTCTGACAGCGAGTGGTGAGGTAATGAGAACAGAAGCTGCTCTTCCGAAGTTTTTGACCTAATGTGTAATGTCTACAAGCTGCGGTCGGCTTGCAAATGATACAACTGCCAAAGCCTAGTAAGAACAGTTTCAAACCACTTTCTGCGTGAAGGATTTGCAGAGCTGCCTTAAACGGGGCTGATTAAATATCCCAGACGGCGGACGTATTTGACTACGACTCACGGCTGGCATAGTGGAAAGACGACCTGAATTGGTCTAGGCTGTTTACGGTACTGCATATCATTTCATCTGCGAGACCTTATGGCGGTCGGGATGAGTAAATCAGGACAAACGTTATATACTAGGTGTATAGACATGCATATCGGATGTCCTAATGGTTTAGTCCGCTAATCAACGACGGTTACAAAGGCTTTTGAGCAGTTCCGTTGAGGCGGGTGAGGACTGATTGCCAAGGGGTGAGGATGTGGAAGCACACATTAAATCCATCAATGTGTTTGGTGGGATCGCATATTCCCCCGAAAAGGGAAGGCCAACAAAGGACATCAACGCATTCAGCGTAGCTGTAGCATCCCAAAAGGACCATTTGGCCGTTACATTCTTTAAGCTACTTGAGAGACGAAACGCAGACACAGACTAAACAAGCTAAGCGAGTTTCTTCCTTATTTCCTAAGTGGGAGGCTTTGGATTGTGCCTCCTAGGTATTTTTTGAAGCCAGCTTTATTTGTTGCTCCGCCATGAAAAATTAATTCGTGCATGTGATTTTGACAACCGTTAGTGGTAAGCGAAAATGTGCGGCCTGTGAAAAGTCAGCCAACTTAGAAATTGCGTCAGAGATTCAGTAGTTTCTGCCTACATCGTAACAAGATTTGCCTTTAACGGGCATAAACGCGACTATCAGACAGCACGCAAACTTAGCACTGTGAATTATAAATTGACCACGACCACTGACGGTGTCCCGAGATCGTCCTAAATGGCAAAAAATCAAATTCTCGCTCAGCCGAAAAATGGATGCTCTGTGCTTGGACAACGTGGGGAGGAAAGCGAAAAGACTGGGTAATTATTGAGAGAACAAACCCGCTCAACGCCCATTACTGTCCGCCTTCGTGCAACACGCTTTTGTCGGCCACGGCCGGTTGTAGTCGTTCCAACTAAGGTCGTGAGAGTAGATGAAGAGCTCGCGGAGGACTGAATATCCGTATTCGCACATGTCTGCGAAGGCAGTGGCGGAGGCTCCTGTGCCTCGGGAATGCTCACTACAGGCGGCGTCTGGACCCGCATGCGAGTCGACTTGCATGGTTGAGTGTAGCGCCGAGCACCGCGGGCTGAGGGTGCCGGCATCCGGTTAGTGGGTACGGCGGTTTCGGCATCGGTGCCTTGAAGTGCAATAGCTGCTGCAAGCTGTCTAGTCATGGGTCTGTGGTTCTGGACGCCCCAGACGTTGTTGGATGGACCGGCACGCCGCTGTTGCTGTAAGGTCGAGGTCTCGACTGCAGGGAACACCGCGGTTCGGGGTTCGACAGCTTCACACGGCTGATACGCAGCAGCAGCAGCGGCAGCATACGAGCGCTGCTGATGTCGCTGCACGCGCGAATGGGAGGTAGTCGAGACAGCTGTAAGTGAATGACGATTGGGCAGGAAGGGACGCGACGTCAGAGCAGTGGAGGAGGGCCGCAGAGACGCGCGTCCGTGTGGCAACACGGAGGGAGCGACTGAAGTGGTGGTCCGGCATAGAGACAAGAGGTCAGAAGGAGTCGGCACCTCAGTTGAGGAGAAGAAAGGCATACGCAAAGCCTCGCATGCGGGTATTCGTTTCAGCGGATTAAAGGTTAGCATGCACTGCGTATGAAATGTGGAAGGTGGGGGAGGGAAAGTATGATCATGGAAATGGGTGTCAGTGTAGCAAAAAATGGTAAATTATCCAAACTGCATGCAAAAGTGGAGTTAAGAGTGCTCAGTGTAGTTAAGTTCTCGAAAAAAGTAAATAACAATGGCGAGCGTCGTAGCGTACATAAGGAGGGCAAAAAACCAAGGTTGAAAAGGGAGTAGTCCGCTAGAAATGTGAGGATCGAACACGGTCCATGAAACAAAACTAAAAAAATATCTTGGTGTATGCACCACGGTGACAACTGCATAGGGGAGGTCTAAAAATGCAACTGCACAGCACTCACTTCTATTAAATTCAGCGCCGACTCGTCCGTGGTCTTTACCTTGGAGCGCAGTATATTGTGTTCACCGACCTTTTTGAAGTCACCTTGTTTCAGGAAGGAAGTACGCGGCCACTCAGAAGCTGGAGGAAATCCTATAACGCTGAATGACAAGTCGATTAATTTCCAGAAGACGACACTTACTCTAGAATCTTCTTCAACATTAGAATCTCCGAGTCAGCGATAAATAAAGCTTTCAAATTAAACAGCTCAGCTATTATGCATCCTGCAGCCCAGACGTCGCAAGCCGATGAGTATTCAGACTGAATTAAGATTTCCGGTGAACGGTACCACAGTGTAACCACAATGGGTGTGAGGGGCGACTCCCACCCGAGTACACGAGAAAGGCCAAAATCGGTTATTTTTAGTCGGGTACCAGCTTCGTTTATCAAGATGTTAGCGGGCTTTAGGTCGCGGTGAATTATCCGGTGTGAGTGGAGAAAATCAATACCCTTGAGCAATTGGGACGCAAGATTCTGTAAGGACAATAAACACGAAAGCGGAGAACACTTACTCGAATAGAACTGATAGGTAAACCGACCTGTGGCGCATGATGCGAGATATAGCGCGAGAGATCACAGTCAATGTATTCAAAAACAATGTAAATGCACAGATTCTCTGCCCGTCGACAAAGAGAGATGTCTAGCATTCTACATAGTTCGATTAGTAAAAAATGTGTAAGCAGTAATTACTGAACGAGAAAAGGAGAATTATAGGCCTGGACTTTTTTCAATACGCTCAGCTCTCGCAGTGTACTCAAAGGGATTCCCTGATCGTCTGCAGGGATGACAATTTCTTTGAGAGCTACAGTCAGTCCATTTGGGGAGGTGCCTTTGAAAACGCGGCCATAGGCTCCAGAGCCGAGCAATTCTGAGACCTCGTAATTATTCTTCAGGGCAAAGTTCTCATAAGCAGTATTCCGAAGAGGCCTCACTGATGTCATATTTTGCGCTGTAACGGCACAAGAAAAACTGTTCAGTAAAAAGCACCCTGGTCGTATTGTAAACAATACGACTTTGGAATGAAAAGTGGTGTCTTTGTGGCTTGCTTCCCCTCAATTTGTTAAGTATATTGGAAAATATTAGGCCACAGAAGTCACAGAGAAAGCGAAGAATGCCACAGTACAAGGGAACCGGAACAGCAAAACTCTCACAGACGAGTAGTTATTAATGTGGTCGAAAAGCAACACGGGTGTGAAATAACCTACTCGACGTAACACCTTCACAACTGGTATGCAAACCTGCTTGCTTACTGCCTTGCGCGTCCGGGGGCGGAGGATAGTAAACGAGCCTCATGCGGAAGTTATCTGTAAAATGTGCGGGCTACTGAGTCTGACATATGAGCAACTGCAGGCCAACAACGACATCGCTACCATGGAGTGGAGATTTGAGATCTGTGTTACTGACTGCCTTATAAAGCACCGAGAGGGATGGCACAACATTCTGGCATGACGAGCGTAAAGTATCATTAACTAAATTAGCTTGTCACCGCCGTCCTCAAGTCCGGTATCCACAGACAATGGCGTTATGGTCGGCAATTTCAGATAACTTGGGCGGTTGTTGTGGATTCGCCCGTACCAAAGCCGCCATCTTCAAAGCCAACCGAACAAATAAAACCAGAGTGTCTAGGGCCAAAAACATATTAATCTCAACATGCAGCCAGCAGCAACTCGCATTTGTGGCCCCGACTGACCCTACTGGGCGTCTTCGTACCTACTTCAACATCATCAAGAGCATTTAACTACCAACATCACGAAATGCTACTCTCCCTCACGATACCCCATTCACTTGCCCTAGCTATTACTACACATCCCGGTCTCGTTGCGCTCAGGTCGGACACTCCCAAGCCCTCCGCAACGTGGAGACAAATCCTGAGACCTAAGAGCTAGCCCTCACACCGGTTTGGCTAGCTATATGAATTTCACGGCATCACAGGTAAGTGCGACTTATGTCTTGGGGTCGTCAACTGAACCCTCAGCAACTGCTATCCAGTTAGCGCTCCGTTGCCGAGCACGGAGGGCAGTCGACCCCAGCATCTTCTCCAAGTCAGACTTTACTACATTTGTCCAGTTTTTTATTTGTCACCATGGAAAATTGCCGATCAGGATAACAGTTTGGAAAGTCAGCGTCCCAGACGGACACCTCGTCAGGCGGGTGGAGTGTGCGGAACGGTGAGTCCTTATCGCGAGGACAGCTGTAGGAGACCCCAATCGGCGGTGTAGTTCCACATTCGAGATATTCCGTGACCCGAAGCTGGAGGCATCAATTATTTGAAATTTCGATGTCTTTTGGAGTGGCAGCGTATGAAAGTCTAGGCCCGCAGCCGTGGAGCAGAAAGGCGTCGACAGTGGTTTCATGCAGGATTCCCGCCCTTCACTAGTACTCAACCTCGCGGCGAGACGTCGAGCAAGTCTGGGGTGGGCAACACGTACCAAACTGGGGATGTAAACAGCGTTCCTTACTTCGTTACGTTGGTCGGTAATGAAGAGGACTAGTGATAAAAAAAACTATTTTAGGGCCCCCAACCTCTAGCTATTTAACTGGGTTATCGAACGGCACTTTGGCGATCCCAGCGTTTTGTTGCAGACCGGATAAGCGCGTTGCAGGGGATACTCGGTGAAGGACAGGGTGCACTTTGTTAAACGAATTTCCACAGGAAACGATGTACTCGGCATTGAATTTGATGTCGAGGGAGTCCCTCAATCGATCCTCGAGGATTCCCTCGTGAGGTCTATGCAAACAAATTAACCACTCATGGCGTACACACAAAGAAGGCCTTTTTTTAAAGCCGCCATACAATGTGTATGATTTTTCTGCTGCTGGCAATCAAAACACGGCGAGATGGAATAAAAAATAGTTACGCTGAAGAAGAGGTACAAACGGCGAACTTGCCCTACATAGGCGGAATACACACATAAATTTAGTGACCAAAACGGGGTATAGCTGAGTCCACTTCAGTCTATTGAGGGAAATGTAGGTCTTCACCTTTGAACTCCCTATTTGTGTACATGCAACTGCAAAATCTCAAAAACTCGAAAAGGTATCATAAAGGGAACAAATGGTCGGAAAAGCGGAATATCTGTACAGACAAACAAACTGTCTCGAATGTTAGTGGTACGAGCAGTTGTAGAGCGGTCGTTTCGAGTGCAGGAGAATAAATAATATATCCGGTGACAAAATTTGCATAGGTGCATGTCAGTAAGCGTAGGCGATGGGTTGGGGACAATAAGAGATTCAATTTAAAATGTTACTGAAATATAGAAAGTAGTATTATAACAACGGAATTGTCAAGGTTACAGAGATCGGGTGGTAATTTAGTGGACATTGCCACACACATCCAGCTTCCTCTTAAAGACCTCGACGGAAGCAGACATAACGACATCCACAGGCAGGACATTCCAGGCTTCTAGCACTCTGTTAGAGAAGAAGAAATTTCGTGTATCCCGTCTGGCCCCTGTCACACGTAGTTTGAATGGATGGCCCCGTAGATTTGTGGTGGTTACTAACTCGAAGAAGTCCCCCGGTATGAGGTTGCAGTCCTGACCGCGTATGATACGGAAGGCTTGTATCAGGTCACTCCGTAATTGCCTGTAACTCAAGGGAAAGCGATCAAGGTTAGCTAACCGCGTTGCATATGGTAGTGAACCCTGTCCTGCCACATGTTTCGTTGCCTGCCTTTGAACACTTTCAAGGATGCTGAGGTCCTTCGCGGTCCAGGGTTTCCAAGCTTGAATAGCAAATTCTAGTTGCGGACGCACAAACGTTCGAAAGACTTTAGCGAAGCAGTCTTCATCGAAGGCGGAGAAAGCCCGCTTGACAAGGTAGAGGACTGACACTGCAGACTTGGCTATCTTCCTGCAGTGGAGCAAGGGTTTGAGCGACGTCGTAATCCATACTCCCAAGTCCTTCTGCGAGTCCACTTCTTGCAGTTGTATACCATTTAGGCAGTAGGCCATATGGAAGCCAAAAGGAAGCTTTGAATCCATTTTAATTGGTTACACCTAACGCCTGTTCGGCCCAGTTTTTGCAGGAGTCGCTGATGTGGGACACTATTAAATGCCTTTTTAAAGTCGATATAGACTACATGCAGCGCATTGCTTTCATCAACTGACCAAGTCCAACGTTCCAAACAGTTGAGCAAGTTAGTCACGCAAGACCTTCCACTACGAAACCCATGCTGCGCATCAGATAATAAATTATGCTGCTCTAGGAAGCGCATTAGCTCTCGCTTAATTATTTTCTCCATGAGTTTGCAGCAGATGGAGGTGAGGCTAATTGGGCTGTAATTGTTTGCAGAGGCCTTGCTGCCTCCTTTATGCAGTGGTGTGATCCGCGCAGATTTCCAGTCGGCGGGCAGCCGGCTTCGAACGAGGCTTGGAAAAGCATGGACAATGGTTTGGCTAGTTCGGCAGCGAGCTCCTTCAGTGACTTAGGCGGTATGTCGTCTGGACCTGGTGATTTCGACTCATTTAGCGTCATTAGGTCTTTGCGAACCGTCGCTTCATCAACAGATACCGACACAATTTTTGGACCCTTATCGAAGTCGTAGTCGGGAGGAGTAAATGCACTTTCACTTGTAAAGATGGATTTGAAAAATTGTGAAAAGTGCTCAGCTTTTTCTGCATCCACACTAATCTCTACGTCTCCCCTTGTCTTTAGAAGGGGGATTGGATCTCTATTTCGTGTGCTGCTTCTTATGTAGCTGTAGAATATTTTCGGATTTTCCATAGCACGATTTAATAGGTCTTTTTCAAAATTTTGCCGTGTCCTGAGGGTAAGTCGTTTGACTAAGTTCCTCTGTGTTTTGTATGCGTTTATGGATACAGGAGTCCCATTAGTAAGAGATTTCTACCACAATCTCCGCTTTTTATTTCCTTTTTCAACGCCTGGCTCAGCCACCGAAGTCGATTGTTTAGCCCCTTTCGTGAAAGCGGGCAGTGGTTTGTCTGGAGAACATGCAATAATTCACTGAACCATTTCCAATCCTCCGCTATATTTCCGGAAAACGCTGATTCCCAGTCCGTATTGTTGATTTCGGTCTTCATTTGTTCGAAGTCCCCACGCCAAATATTTCTTCTAATTTTGATGGGCTGTTCAGGCACGGAAAAGATTGAATAGTCCCATTGAAGTACGACGTGATCGTTTCGATCTAAGGGAGGCAGACATTGTACCTCATCTATGCTGTCCATCGATTTCGTGAGCACCAGGTCCAAGCAGTTTGACTGCTGCCCCTCACGTACCCTCGTGGAAAATAGGACGTGATGTGTGAGAAATGACCTGAGTGCCATGCCCAAGAAGCGTCGGTCGAAAGCTAGTTCTGGGCCGCGCGCGTATAGTGAACTCCATTCAATGAGCGATGCAATGAAGTCGTCCATGATCAGGACGTCAGGCCGGAGAGCAAATCGTCCTGGCTCCTCTAACAGACGAGCGTCAGCCTCGGGGTCATTACTCGGTGGTCGATAGATGGTCAGAACTTCAAGGCTATGTGATCCTGGTACTCTTATAGTGAGCCAGATAGTCTCGGTGCTGCATGCAAACTGTTCTGTTTTTTTCTGACACAAGCAGGCCATGTTTTACGTACGTGACGACTCCTTTTCCCTGACGCTCTCTCCTGTCTCTTCGAAACAACTGAAATCCTGGTAGCATTAATTCGCGGTCATCCACGTTTTCAGACAGCCAGGTTTTATGTCAAAGAGACAACGTCAGGGGATATGTCGCAGATATGGATCTTCAGTTCGTCTAACTTGGGCAATATACTCTGCACTTTGGTGTAAAAAATGTTAGTTCCAGTGTTTTAGGGCGTTTGATTATGGTGTCGCTTGAGATCCCATTTCAGGAAGCTATTGTGTGGTCATCCGGATCGGTTCGGTCCAACGGATTAGGGGAGGGCGCTGCACTATCTGGTCTTTGTAGATCACGGGATCCGTCTCGCCATTCTGCAACC